TGTGTGTGTGTGTGTGTGTGTGTGTGTGTGTGTGTGTGTGTGTGTGTGTGTGTGTGTGTGTGTGTGTGTGTGTGTGTGTGTGTGTGTGTCTATGCCCGTGGGGGTTGGGGCGGGGGGTGGACGACCCCTCCCCCACGAATCAATCAATCAATCAATCAATCAATCAATCAATCAATCAATCAATTAATCAACCGATCAATCATCGGAAGAAAAAAAAAAAACGAAAAAAAAAGTAGTTTTTCTTTGCTATTTTTTTTTTCTTATCATCTTTCATTACCGAATTCACCCTTACAAAAAATAGTTTTTTTTTCTTTGTTTTTGTTTGAGGGGGCAGGGCTGGGGTTGCGCAACCCCAATCCACCTCCCAACCCCCCCCGCCCCCCTCCCCCTGGCCGCCACGTGGCCGCGAAGTTGAGCGGCCGCGCGGCCATGGCCGCGGGGTCGCCTCGGCCTTGGTCGCGCATGGTCACCTCCTGGGGAGATTCATAGGGAGGCAACCACCTACCAGACGGCTCGATTCGTCTTTCGCCCCTATACCCAACTTGAAGTCTGATGAATGATTTGCACGTCAGTATTGCTGGGAGCCTCCAAAAAGAGGACCTGGTGTGATGAACGATTTGCAGGTCAGTATCGCTGGGAGTCTCCAAAAAGAGGAAGAGAAGGACGATGATGATGAGGAGGAAGACGAAGAGGAGGACAAAAAGGAGGAGGAGGTGGAGGAAGAAAAAGAAGTAGAAGACGAGGACAAAGACGAAGATGAGGACGAGGAAGAGGAGGCACAGGAGGAGGAGAAGGAGGAGGAGGAAGAAGAAGAAGAGGAGGAGGAGGAAGAGGACGAGGAGGAGGACAAGGAGGAGAAGGAGGAGTAAGAAGAACAAGAGGAGGAGGATAAGGAGAAAAAAATGGAGGAGACGAGGTAGTAGAGGATGTGGAAGAAGAGAAGGAGGAGGAAGAGGAGGAGGATGAGGAGGATGAAGATGAGGACGAAGATGAGGAGGAGGAGGAGGAGGAGGAGGAGGAGGAGGAAGAGGAGGACGAGGACGAGGACGACGACGACGACGACGACGAGGAGGACGATGAGGACCAGGAGGAATAGGATGGGGAGGAGGTCGAGGAGAAGGAGGAATGGGTGATGTAGTAGTAGTAGGAGGAGGAGTCAGATGAAGAGGGGGATGAGTAGTGATGGAGGAGGACAAAGAGGAGATAAAGGAGGAAAAGAAAGAGAAGGACGGAGAGGATGAGAAGCAGAAGGAAGAGGAGGAGGAAGAGGAGGAGGAAGAAGAGGTGGAGGAGCAGGAGGAGGAGGATGACGACAACAACGAGGAATAGGCGTTGTCGTTGAGGAGGAGGAGGAAGAGGTGGAGTAGGATTAGGAGGAGGAAGAGGCAGTCGCACATCGATGAGGAGGAATAGGAGAAGGAGGAGGGAGAGGAAGAGGAAGAGAAGGAGGAGGAAGAGGAGGCAGAAGAGGGGGAGAAGAAGGAGGTGAAGGAGGAAGAAGAAGAGGAAGAGGGAAGCAGGGAGGGTAACCTTGATGTCAACGGAGGAGGAGGAGGACGCTCCTGGCGAGGCTCCAGCGGCAGCGGCGATGGCTCTAGCACCAAAATAGCGGGGGCCCAGGGCAGCGAGATGAATGGGTAGTGAGCCATTAATGGGGAGGGATTTCAACTGGATAAATCGGATGGTCCAAGGCTATTCGGATATCTGGAAGAGCAACATAGCCTTTTGGGTAGGTAGAACATGAGAAATTATAAGTGGTTATCGTGCAGTGAGGGTAAGTGCCATGTGATGGATTATCTCTGCTGAACGAGAAGTAGTTCAACTACATCAAAACAAGTACTTGATGCAACCTTGTGGCAACAAATTGAGATAAAAATGATGTGTCTCTATGTATGTGTGTGTGTTTAGGGTAACTGAACGCCCAAATGTTCGGGGGTCAGCTTAGGGGCCTCCGTATTTTGGACAGACAACCTTGTATATATATATATATATATATATATATATATATATATATATATATATATATATATATATTAGG